GACATTGTCAATGAATGCTTGCAACACATGAATGACAGTGAATGGATGTGAGAGGGCAATAAAATGGGAGTATTTGGTGAATCTATCCACTACCACCAGAATAACATCTTTACCCTGGGATTTGGGTAGTCCTTCCACAAAATCCATGGATATGTGTCTCCAAGCCATATCGGGAATGGGCAGGGGGTCCAATAATCCTGGATAGTGACAGTGTTCTCCCTTTGCTCGCTGGCAGACAGGGCATTGTTGGACAAATTGTTCCACGTTATTCTTCATATTTGGCCAATAAAAAATTCTCTTGATTCTCTGATAAGTGGCCCTGATTCCTGAATGGCCCCCAAGAGGAGAAGCATGAAATGTATGTAGTAGTTGTTGTTGGAAAGTTGTGTTTGTGCCAATATATATCCTGTTTTTATATCTCAGTATTCCAGCAGTGTAACTATACAAAGGAAGTGTTGAAGTTCCAGCAGTGAGTTGAGCTATCAAGTTTTTGCATTTTTCATCACCCTTGTAAGAGGTTTCTATTTGATCAGTCCAGCTTGGTATTGCTGTGGAGATGGACATTAGTTGGGGTTTCCTGGAGAGTGCATCAGCAGCTTTATTCTCCTTGCCCTTCTTATACTCAATAGTATAAGTAAACTCCAAGAGTTTTAACATCAGCTTGTGTTGTATTCCTTCAGATATCCTCTGTTCAGTAATAAATTTGAGACTCTGATGGTCTGTCTTGATGATGAGAGAAGATCCCAAGAAATAATGTCGCCATTTCCTGAGGGATTCCAAGATTGCAATTGCTTCTTTTTCATAAGTTGAGAGAGCAGCAGCTTTTGGACCCAATGACTTGCTGTAGTAAGCAATAGGCTTGTGCTGTTGCATTAGGACAGCTCCTACTCCAGCTCCTGAAGCATCACATTCTAACTCAAAAGGAAGTGAGAAATCAGGGAGTGCTAGGACTGGTGCATTAGTTAAGCTGTATTTCAGTTGCTCAAAGGCTGCTGTTTGTGTTGGAGTCCATAGAAAGGAGTCCTTCTTGAGAAGATCATGAAGTGGTCTGCAAATTAAGCCATAGTCTCTGATGAATCTCCTGTAGTAACCAGCTAGGCCCAGGAAGCTTCTTAACTCAGTGGTGTTAGACGGAATGGGCCAATTCTTCACAGCTGTTATTTTTTCAGGATCTGTGGCTACTCCTTGTGCAGATAAAATATGTCCCAAATATTCCACTGTAGGAGTACCAAAAGTGCACTTAGATTGATTCAACAACAAGTTATGTTTCTTGAGTAACTCCATTACTATAGCTAGGTGTTCCTTGTGTTCCTCCACTATCTTACTGAAAATGAGGATATCGTCAAAAAACACCAAGACAAACTTCCTCAAGTAGGGTGCAAATATTTTGTTCATGAGAGCTTGGAAGGTAGCTGGAGCATTTGTGAGGCCAAATGGCATGACCAAGAACTCAAAATGTCCAGAATAGGTTCTGAAAGCAGTCTTGTGGATGTCTTCAGGTTTCATTCTAATTTGATGATAACCAGATTTCAGATCCAATTTACTGAAAATGGATGCTCCATGTAGTTCATCCAGCAAATCTTCAATTACAGGTATGGGAAACTTGTTCTTTATAGTTTGGGCATTCAATTTCCTGTAATCAATGCATAATCTCCAGGTGCCTCCTTTCTTTCTGACCAATATAGCTGGGGATGCATATGGGCTCACACTGTGTTGTATAATATGTCTTGAGAGCAAGAGTTTTATTTGCTGTTCCATTTCATTCTTCTGCAAATGAGGTACTCTGTATGGTCTGACATTGGGGGGTGTGGAATTGTCTTTGAGTGGTATAGTATGGTCACATTCTCTAGCAGGAGGTAGCTCAGTTGGTTCTCTGAAGAGTTCCTTGTGCTGCTCCAAGACTGGTAAGAATTCTTCTGTGATCTTCTGTTCAGGTTGTATGGCAGGACAACTGTAGTTGCTAGGAATAGTCATGAAGTGTAAGCTCATGGCAAAACCAACTGCTCCCTGGGAGCACAATTTATCCATTTTTTCAGCAGATATTAATTTAGGTGGCTCTGTAGCTGTATAATCTGTGAATGTCACAAGGTGGCTCTTGTCCTTATTGAGAGTGACAGTTCTAGCATCAAAATCCATGGAAATGGGGCTATGTTTCTTGAGGAAATCACACCCAAGAACCACATCGTAACCCTGTAATTCCAGCACTGTGAGATCATTGGAGAATGTTTCCTGATTGATATGGAAGTTCGCCTTAGGGGCAAAAGCTCCAGAGGTAAGTGAGCCTCCTCCAGCAACTGTAACTCTTTGTGTAGGGGTATTGACCAAGTCACAATTACTTTTGAGTGCGAATTTGAGGTCAATAAATGTGTTTGTACTACCAGTATCTACCAGAGCTATGCCACTTCTACCTCCAAGTAATAACTTGACTGCTATTGTTGACTCAGAAGTATTACCTGAAACTGCTTGTGCAGAGATGTGCATGCACTTGTCAGAAGCATCTAAGAGCTCTCCTTCTGCAGTTAAAACTGCCAATTGAGCTTCCTCCTCAGGAGAGATATCTTCAGTGTCATTGTCACTAGCAATAGCATGAAGAGCAGGTGCTTGTTTACATTTGTGTCCAGGAACCCAAGGGCCATTGCATCTCCAGCAAACCCCTGGTTTCTTAACTGCTGGAGCTGCTGGAGGAACCAACACTGGTTGTGTCACAGAAGTGGCAGGTTTATGTAGATTATGTGTTTGCAATTGTCTGTCTTGCTGTGCCACATAAGCTTGGTATTTGGCTTGAAGTCCGCTTTCATAATCCTTGGCCATCCAATAAGCCTGAGTGAGTGTTTTGGGTCTTTGTGGCCTGAGATTACATCTGATGTTAGGCTTCAGTCCATTGACAAAGCTAACAACATAGTAGTGTTCCTGTAAATATGGGTGTTCATCTCTAACCACAGCCATAATCTCTTCAAATTTGTCAATGTACACTGCAACAGACAGTGTGTTCTGCTTGACACTATGGAATTTTTCCAAAATCTCATAGATACTAGAGTCTGGGAATCTGTCACAGAGTAGTCTGCAGAATTCCTTCCAGGGAATGGCACAATTTTCCAGTTGAGCGCTGCGGATCCAATTATCAGCCCTTCCAATGAAATAAGTTAAGGCCAAGTCAATCTTACATTCTTCAGGTACTTGAGCCAGCTGAAAGTATTTATTGACTTGCCGAATCCAACCCAAGGGATTATCCCCATTGAAACAAGGGAAATCGATTTTTGGACCCTTAGAAATATTTTTCATAAACTGTGCTGCACAGTCAGACTTGTACTGCTCAGAAAATTCAGGCAGTTTCTCTGGCTGTTTTGCTTGTGATCCAACTTGCTTAAGATGAAGCTGCACTAGTGATTCAACCTGCTTTTGCAATTCTTGTGCTGTGGTAGTCTGAACCTGAATTATGGGTGGCGATTTTTCTGCAGACCCCATGGAAGAGCTAGGAGATTCAGGGTTGGGCGGGTGGGTGTTTTCACGTTGCATTTGCTTCAACAGAGTGAGGATATCTGTCTGAACTGAAGAATTCTTCTCCACCAGAGCCTCCACCTTACAGATCTGGTTCTCCATAACTTCCACCTTGGACAGGCGAGCGTTAACCTCCGCCATCTGGTCTTGTATCTTGTCTTGTTTGAGTGTCATCGCAGAAACCTCTGCTCGCAGAGTATCGAGCTCATCAGAGATCTCGTCCATGTGCTTGGTTCGCGTCGGCATGGCGAAATCGCGTGCGGCTCCGGAATTTTACCGCGGGAAGAACCCGGAACCCTTGCCGATGATCTTGATTTCGCCCCGCTCTGCGCCTCCCAGAAGTCACCGCCGCCCTGATCGACCGCTAGCAGTGGGATTTTACCAGGGTCCAACCCAACCACTACTGCGGAGATCAATTCAGCCTCTGAGAATCGAGTGGTTACTGATACCAATTGACAGGACTAATTTGGACAGAGAAGAAATCACACTCAAACTAGCCCCGATTTCATATAGCAACGGAAAAGTTACATATACAAGTTCAAGGATCTACCTCATCTACCAAGTAGTTCTAGGAGTCTAAGCTATGAACTAATACAACTTGGAGAAGGGGAAAGATGATTTCCAGATCCGCAGGCTGGTCCTTATAACGGAGAGTTGGTGGAGACGGCGTGAGGTTGGTGATGGAGACAACGGTGTGACGGTGAGCAGGTTACAGTTGGGGTGGCTCGGCCATCGATCTCCACTTATGCTCTTTGATCTCAGCCGTACATTTCCCAGGTACTGAACTCCTCCTCCTGAATGTCATCTTCGTCAGTAAGTGTCGATATCTTCAATTGAGCGGTCAGGGTCCTGACACCCTCCTCCTGCTACGGCCTCTCCCTAGGCGACGGCCTGTTTTGCCACGACCACGACCACGGCAGGGGCTTCTGGATCCGCGCCGCCGTCGAGCTGGACGCGACCATCGACCTCGGACCACACCGCCACAGCCATGGATGCACCATATCAAGGTCTCCTCCCCCGCCCCCTATTCTTCTTCTTCTCCTTCTCTATCTCTCTCAATCCCTGATGTGTTTCGATTTAGTAGGCTTGGTTCCCTCTGTGATCATGATGCGTGTAGAACAGCAGCTGCTGCTAGCCTTGTTTGTTGCCACCAACAATTATGCTTAGTGCCTCTCTGGTTTCAATTTTTCTTCTAACCTTTAAGTTATTTGCTAGGCATATCATCTAATCTAATTTACCTACAGTCAAGTGCACCCCATCGATCGAATCAATAGAAGAATATATGGTATTAGAATCCTTCAGTGATTTTTTGTGTTGTTTTGACAGCACTAGGCATCAGACTTATGGAGGAGTAGGGTCAACAAATAAGGTAGAGATGAACTCTTGGCTTGAAAGTTGAAGGATTTTTATCCTATGAGCATTATTGTGAAGGCACTTCATGTGTATTTGCACAAAGCTCTGTTCTCCTAACAGAAACCTCTTCTTTTTCTGCATAAGAGGAGATGCTAGACCCCTTTGCACTGGTTAAGGATGAAGTGTCGGAAATCTCGAACAGACTGCGTTTGACGGTGGTATCTGAGGTTCATGCTCTAAACTGCACCCCTATCCTGAATTATACCGTGTGCATTGTGTGCTTTGTGGCTTTGTTAACCTTGTATCTCCGACATGGATCATGACTGCAGGTACCTGAATTGACATCAGCAGCTGGACACTTCTTCAGAGCTGGAGCTGAAGGGAAAAGAACATGCCCTACTGTAAGTCCATACTTCAGGGTGGTACTGAATATCCTGTTATTACATCAAGGCACGTGTTGCTGTTTGCTTAGACACATAAGCATATACATGATGTATGTACCTGTCCTTATCGCATCAGCGTAAGTTATTGATAATCGGCATGCCAGGTTCTACTACTGATGGCCTCGGCTATAAGAACAGACACTCCTGACTCGGTTGTTGTTTCAAGGAGCGAGCTTCATGCAAGACAGATGCACATTGCTGAGATAACTGAAATAATTCATGTACACATCATAATTATTTCTTATTTACTTGAGGTCTCTAATATAACAGGATTATTTATTTCACTGACTTGTTGATATTGCCCTTTGGAAGTTTGAGACCACCAAGTACTCCTGCACTATCATTGATGCTCCTGGACACCGTGATTTCATCAAGAACATGATCACTGGGACCTCCCGGGCTGATTTTGCGGTGCTTATCATTGAATCCACCACTGGTGGTTTTGAGGCTGGTATCTCCAATGATGTCCAGACCCGTGAGCATGCTCTCCTTGCTTTCACTCTTGGCGTCAGGCAGATGATCTGCTGCTGCAACAAGGTAATATTTCAATGGTAGTTATTGTTGCTTGCTTGTTAATTGATCCATTTAACTCAGTGTTGGTGTTTATACTTATTGAATGATGTGCTTCTGCTTGTAGATAGAGTTCTCTATCTTTTTTGCGAATAGAGTTCTCTAATTTGCACTACTGCCCCCAAACAAATTAAACTATGTTACTTGAAATATCTTGTTGCAAATATATTTGGTTCCTGCATTTATAATATTTGAATTTGAAATGACATATGGTGCTGCCAGTATCGCTTCTTACATTTTTTTAAATGTGGAGGTTAATGATATTGTCTCCTTGATAGATCTGTCTATTGCTCTCTATAGTTGGCTTTGATCTGACCATTTTTCTCTGTATTTGTCTGAATTTGCATGCCTATACTCTGCTCTAAGTACTTCTATTTGTTTAATATCCAATATGCAATTGTTTTGAATGGTTTGAGGTGTGTATGCTCTAATGAATATTGTGTTTGTTTGGTGCAGATAGATGCTACTACCCCAAAGTACTCCAGGGCTCGCTACTTTGAAATTGTCAATGAAGTTAGCTACTACTTGAAGAAGGTGGGCTACAATCCTGCCTGTTCACCAGCTGCCTGTTAATGGATGGACCCCCCTGCTTGTTCCATTCACCAGCTGAATCCTGCTCCTGCTGCTAGCTCCCAGCCTTATTCCATTGGTTGATTTTATGTATGATAGTGTTGATAAGACAGTAAGTTGTATGCAGATCTACAAAAGTATATAATACTTTTGATTGTGGTGTAGGTAATATGGCCTTTTTAGTGCATATATCTAGCTCCAATTGGTTAATTTGTCAAGGCTGCTACACGTGATTTTATCTTACATTGGCATCACTTATCTTATGTTTAATAGTAACATACTGCATATAGAGCTTGCTGCTCCCCCCCCCCCTCTACCCATATATTTATTGATCGACAAAGCTAATCCCTTTGTTTATCATCAAAGTTAGTGCATTTATTGAATTGAAAAGAAATAGCTCAAATGGCTACATGTGCATGAATTAAAGCTTTCATGACATTATTTTGCAGCAATGCATTTTATTGTATGCAGGACATGCATCCTTTAACTAAATTCATCTTTTTTTGATGTAGTTTTTTGTGATTTGAAAGCAACTGACGACTCTATCAATCAGTGCACGGAGAAATCTATTTCTAAGTGTCCTAAGGTGTCTGTTCACCCTTTTCTATTATCTAAGTAAATGTGAATGTTTGTTTACCTTTCAAGTCTTGATTCGCGTTGTGGTTCATGGTCTTTATTTCAGGTGATAAGAATTGTGATTGACTCAGTAGGAGGAGCATGAGCAGTGGTGGAAGCAGGACCATGCGGGCTTGGACCAGGTCGCGGCACCAGATGTGGAAGATTAAGGCCTTTGCCAGGTGTGCTCTCTCTCTCTCTCTCTCTCTCTCTCTCTCTCCACCACTGCTGGATCCAAGTCACTCGACAAATTGTCGATGTGTGGCACTTCCTTGGATTGTTTTATTTCGTTCATTGTGAGATTTTCGGTGCATGATTGATAGGAGCTCAAAGTAATGCATCGAAGTAAGGAAAATCCAAAAATGGGACCACCTTACTGAGATGTAATAATGGATCTCTCTGCATTTTTCTGTTGATAGGAGCAACCCTTGTCAGAAACAGAAAAAATCCATGGATATTATGCTAGCTCATAAGAAGATCCTATAGAATCGGCTAGCTCGGCCACTTTGACTGATTTAAAGAACACGTGGATGATATATGTAGATGATGCAAACCTATCTGAGCTAAGGGCCTGTCAGACAAAGCTACTGACAGCTTCCTCATGGGCAATGATTATTGAAAGCCATGCAAGTGATTAAAAGAAGTTATCCATTCTAACCAGCCAAATTGAAAGGATTATAATAAAGACACTAAACCCAAAGACTAAAAAACAATATAAATGCTTGCTCTGTTCCACAGGTGCTCTCCGTTCTTCATGAGCCCATTAATAAATCCCATGTATATCGCCCCCTGACGGTTATGTTTCCAGGAAATGCAAACTGCGGCAGACGAGCACACTCCTCCAGAGAGACAAGGTATATTCTAAAATTTGTGTATGGATTTTGGGTGGTGATTACTCAAGAAGGATAACACATTTATTTGTTGTCTAAACAATTTGACAGCGAACACACTAGGAGAGAATTTGCATACACTGCACCTAAAGATTTATTTGGAAACTGTCATCATGCCCAGGCAGAAGAAAGGATACATCAGTCGACTAAATCATTTTGCAATATATCTATGTCCCACGTGTAGTAGCCATCACCAATTCTATTTCTGATCCACAACTTTCAAATCTATAGAAGTAGGGGTCTGACTGAGTCAAAGATAATGGTACATCGAGCTGGCTATCTAAGTTACTATCTTATCTAAGATGTAATTGATGCTTTCTTTTGCCCAATAGTATGTATTTCGATGGATTAACTTTTGTGTTAGTCATGTTTCAATGGATTAACTATTTGTGTTTGTCATGTAAAACTATGTGTCCTATGACATGTGACTTGCTATGCACCTGTAATGTCACTGCCACTTGCTGCTTTTGCTACTCTTTAACAATGAACTTTATGTCATGTTGCTCTTGAACAGGCTAAAATACTTCTGTTTTGGGCATGTAAATGAAATTATTGTATTACTAAACATGATAAGCTTGCCCCATATGCTTAGCCTGGATTACTACTGACTTAGCATTATCTGCTTGACCAAAACGTTGACACCAGCCCTCTCGCGCCAAGGCGCGATCCCGATCTAGTTGGTATGGTGGTGTGGAACCCTAGCTGATAGCTTGCTACTGATTACTGAAGTGAATAGGGAGAGGGAGAGGGTGCTCTTCTCACTAGAGAGAAGGGGCTCACGGGCACGACAACGGCGCGGTGGAGGCGGCGACGCGGGCAGGAACGACGGCGCTAGAAGCGCACTTCCACGGTAGCTCAGTGAAGGAAGCGGCGGGGATGGGCACGGCGGTAGTGCGGCGGAGGAGGCGGCGCGGTCCACGGTTACGGAAATATCGATTTTCGAGGGGGTTGGATTTGTGGGAAATGGAGATAGTGTCGACCGGCGAAGGGGCACGGTCGATTTGTTTTGGGTGAAATTCCATGTGGTAGGCAGTGGGTTAAGCCCGCCACTGCTAAGTCTTAGTTGTGGCGGGCCCTGCGCATCGCCCGACACTGTTATTTATTTTGCATATGTGAGTAATTTAATTGTTCGGTTCAAAATAACATGCTCAAATTTGGCCACTTTTTCAAACCTTCACTATGTTTAATACACACCATTGGAAGTCTCATGCTTAAATTTAAAACCTTTTGAGTTGGTTTGCTATTTTTGAAGCATTAACTCTTTTTCAGGCACTAAAAAGGGTGAGTGCATTTCCGTTCAACATAACATACAAACGAGCTCGCAAATGGATGAAACTTGGCACGGTGTTTTATAGGACCCATGTAGGGTGTGTGATAAACTTTGAGAGTGATAGGGCAAAAGCTTGATGCACTTCGTGGCGAACTCAACACTCTCCTACGAAGTATCAGAGTTTCAAATGAATACCACCGCCTTCCACATACAACTCAATTTTTCTACATCATTTTGACTTAATTCTTTTACTATGTTTAATGCACATCATTGGAAGTCCCATGCTCAAATTTTAGAACTTTTATGAGTTGGTTTGCTATTTTTGAAGCATTAATTGATTTTCTTGCCACTAAAAAGGACTAAACACATTTTCGTTCGACATAATGTGCAAACGAGCTCGAAAATGGATGAAACTTGGCATAGAGTGTCTTCATAGGACACCTGAAGGGTGTGGTAAAAATTTGAGAGTGTTATGACAGAAAATTGATGTCTTTCATGTACAAACTAAACACTCTCCCGTGAAGTATTATGGTTTCGAACGGAAATCATCGTCTTTCACACACATCTCAATTTTCCACATCATTTCAACTTCAAAGTTTTACTATGTTTAAAACACACCATTGGGAGTTCCATTCTCAAAATTTAGAACCTTTTGAGTTGGTTTGCTATTTTTTGAAGCATTAATTGATTTTCCGGCCCCTAAAAAGGGCAGTACGCATTTCCATTCAACATAACGTGCACAAGAGTTCTACAAAGGTGTCTTCGTATGACCCTTGTAGGGTGTTGGCATGGTGTCTTCATAGGACCCTTGTAAGGTGTCATAAAATTTGAGAGCATTACGGGAAAAACTTAATGCACTTTGTGTACAAACTGAACGCTCTCGAATGAAGTATTAGAGTTTCGCATTGAAACCACCGCCTTCCAAAGACAACTCGGTTTTTCTACATCATTTCAACTATTCCGTGTTTAGTAAATATGATTTGTTTCAACCATATTTCTTACTTACTATATCTATGGTTGGGCGCCCACCACTGCCAAATTTGGAAAATTTGGCGCAGGCTAACAAAAATATTGCTGTGGCGGGCAAACTTTTCGCCCGCCATTGGTGGATGACAAACCAGTGGCGGGCTAAAGTTTGTCGCCCTCCACTGCTTCTTTTATGCCACGACTAAATTTGTACAAATTTATGATTGTCGGCTGGCTTTTTTTGCCCGCCGCTGTTGTCCAGCGATAGATTTTACCCACCACTAATTTGAGCCCACTTATAAGACTTTTCCCAATAGTGTTAGAGGCGCGCCGAACATGCCACACAAATTACTTCCATGCTACTATCAGATGGGCCCGACTTAGGGCCCCAATAGTGGAGCCCACTTAATATATTGGCGGCGTAACAAAAAGTAACACAACATACCTATTTAAAATAGGGGAAAAATTGCCACTCTAATTTTTTTTCCACTTTGTTTATGCCACTCTAGAATTTGACAACTCAATTTGGCCACTCTTACCTTTTGACAATGTATCACAAATGTCATTTTTTTGGCAAAAGCAAAAAAAAAACGGTTTCACTTTTACAGTCTTGGCTTTTGACACCGTATCTCAATTGTCACTCCTGAAATTTTTGCTTTTGCCACATAATTGCAATTGTGATGTATTGTAAAAAGCTAAAAGTGGCGAAAATGAAATGGCAAATTCTAGAGTGGCATATGCAAAGTGGGCAAAAACAAGGTTTCCCCTTACAATAGTGGTTGCATGGTAAAATTTGACACGCCACCATTAATCTTGCAACCCGCCCAGACTACTGGGTCCCACATACTGATGGTGTACCAATTTGTTTCCACGCCACCAATAATGCATTACATAGGGTGTGCGAAATATGCCAACACCACTGCTATTTTAAAAAATCAGTGATGGCCTGGATTGAAACTGGTGTGTCACCACTTTTTATTGTGAGTAACTATTTCTCTACTAGTGATACTATGCATGAGCTAGCATGACACGAGGCCAAAGTGGCCCTAGAGAACCGGGGCATGCCGGGCCACGCTAGCGAGTCGTTATCCATGTCTTCTTCGGCACAAAGCCCCAACACTCCCAAGTGGAGGAGCTCTGGACCAGGGGGGGTTTGTGGCGTTGCATGGGACCCCATATAGGCGGGGCGGGGAGGAGCTCGTGGCAACATGTGTGACCAAGGACTTGTGCGGATGAGGTCGATGCAGTGGGATGGGCAAAGG